CAAACCAGTTCCCACCGCAGCTGAAAGCATGAAGCTTTTCCTCCAGTCTGCAGGAAACATGCCAACCAAATTTTGAGATTAATCTCAGAAATTGTCTAGAAAAACTTAGAAATTACAGATAGTCAGATGATGTTTGATAGAAACATTCTAAAAAATAATAATAAAAAAAATTTCTAGTAAAAGAAAATTTTGTTTCAAAAGTAAAAAAATTCCTAGAAAAAAATGGAGAAAGTTTGAGGTTATTCTAAGAAATTTTCTGGAAAAAACATGAACATTTTTGAGTGTCGAAAGTCATGGACATTTGGAGATTAATATCAGAATTTTTTTTAAAAAACAGGGACATTTTTTGAGTTTCAAAAGTCAAAAATTTGCTACACAGTAAAAGAAATTTTGAGGATTAAGTTTTAGAAATTTTATTTAAAAAAAAAAAAAGAAAAATTCTGAGCTCAAAAGTCAAAAATTTGCTAGAAATAACAGGAAAATTTTGAGATTATTCTCAAAAATCTTGAGGTCTTAATTTTGAAGAAAAACAAGAAAATTGATGAGATTAGACATTTTATGGGAAAAAAACTTTAAGATTCTTTTTTTACTTTTCAAGCTCAGAAATGTCCAAGTTCTTTTTTTTAGAAAATTTCCGATGCTAATCTCTAAATTTCTGAGTTTTTGGCGGATATTTTTTTCTACCGACGATGGCCGCCGTAGCTCCTGACCTGCGGCGGTGAATGAGGATTTTAACTCATCCTGGATGAATTAACGTGTAAATGTTGTAGTCAGACACCAGCTGCTTTGTTGCTGAGCCAACATGGACACGTTCCTCCTCTGCTCTGATTGAACTGACGCGATTATGACCGAAATCCGCCCCTCGTCTCGGCTTATCGGGGTAATTCTGACATGAGAGGGGGTATTTAAATCCACGGGGTTTCTGCAGCGGTACTTACCCCCGGCAGCGGATGTCTTCCTCTGCAGGAGCTGAGCGGCGGTGCCTCGGCTGCTCCTGCGGTCCACCCCGCGGTGGCTCCTCGCTGTCCTCGAAGGCCCGGGCCGGCTCTGCGCTCCGTGGCTCCGGGGTTTCCTGCTGGGTGGAGGCGGCCTCTGGTCCTGCTGCGCTCCGGCTGCGCCGCGGAAAAACTCCGGGGATATTAGCGCTGCCGCTCGCTTCGTTCCGCGCGGCGTCGCGTCGCTCACTGCCGCTCCGCCGCCCTGCGAGGTCGAAGGAGGAAAACCCTGACCATGACGTCACCCCGTCAGCTGTACGGAAACCCCACCCTGTGACGTCATACCTGTTCAACTGAACGTTACTTATATACAAATTTTTAAAAGTGTTCTGTCACTGAGATAATAATCCACTAAGAGTTTTAGGTGTTTTATCCCATTTTACTTGCAGACACATCGTAGGCATCCCACCATTACAATACTGATTTCATTTCCGGTTTCTAAATTCTCCAACATCCGATGTTGGGGACAGCAGGGCCGGATGTAGGAGGAAAGGGCCCCGGGTTGAAGCCAGCTTTAGTCCCCAAAACAAAACAAATATTCTACTCAGGCAAACTGTGGTACATTTCTAGGTACGGCTACACTTCAGCCTGTACAAATTGATGAATACTTGGTGTAAAAAACTTGGCTCCATGTTGCACATTATAACTTTGTAATTTTCAAATATTTGAGTACTGTTTCTATTAATAACAATACCCTCCTGACTACCAGTAGTTCATTTTTGTCCTCTGTAGAGGACATTTCTAAACTTGAATATCTCCCACCCCCTGCATTCTACTGAATTAATTCCTTTTGGTATCTGGAGAGGACATTTAGGGCTTTTAAATGATGCCACATGTGAAGGGGTGGGACTTTTGTATGTACCTTTTTCTAATTCATAAAAATGGCGTTCATCAGTCATAACACATTTTATGGGAAGAGACAAAGTAAGTGCATAAGTATGCTAATTACCTTACAAAGACTGGGATTTTAAAAAAATGGTGATTGGACAATATTTTTTTCCTGGTAGTCAGGAGGTAAAAACATATTCATAAAAAAAAACTAAATCTTTGATGTTTTGCTCAGCAGAGGAGAAATATTTCTAAAAATATTTGATTTGCATATTTAACTTCAGATTTAAAAAATGTCTGAACTTGTAGAGTCTAAGTGGTTCCCTGGTGCTGCTTTTTTAGTTTCTGTTTTATCTGAACAACATCCTTAAAACAATTCATGTAAATCAAGTCTTAATCTCAGCGCTGCCATTTTTTCTCACAGTGAGAAGCAGGAAATGCTTTTCTGTATGATTTCCAGGGAAGTCATCAAAACAGCTAATGGAGTGTGACTTTCAGTCTGAGGGAAGATTTTTAATGCATCTTTAGAATGACGATCAAACCTTCTGTAACAGAGTTTTAAAAACAACACAAAGCTTTAGATCCAGATCTGACATTCAGCCTGCAGCAGTTTATTTATGCTGCTTGATGTCGGAACAGAGGAAACCTCCACCGTTTGGACTGGAGCCAGAATGAAGTTCTGTCCTGACAGGTTTGAGATTAAATGAACCCGACGACAATCAAAACTGAAATTAAACACAAAGGTAAATAACTTTTTAAAAACAAAACGGATATAAACCGACTTCATGCGGGATTCTTTATTTCTATTCTCCTGAAAACAGGATGAAACTAATTAAGTTAATTTAATACATTAAAAATGTTTTTCAGTAAATCAGTTTAATAAGTCAAACATTTCATACATTAATTACACAAACTACAACCCAAGTCGATTTTCCTTTTAATTTCAGACAGGAACCAGAGCTTAATGAAAATAGTTTAATCTCCGTTTAAAGGTTCGTTTCTGACAAATGAACCTTTGGAACATTTTACATTTGTGAAAATGACTTTAGGATTTTATTTCCTAATTGAAACAACTTAATTAGGCATAAAATGTGATTCTGACATATTAAGCCACTGGCTCCAAAAGTATTCTTCACTGCCCGTTTCTAAAGCTTGTTTTAAAAAAATGTTTATTTTTATTAAGCGTTTAATACAGGTTTTTAGTGTGCATTCATGCGCCACACTTTGTTTCATCTGTGAAAACACCTGTGTACAAACGGATCGGCTCACGCAGTTCCAGGCTAAACAAGACAACATTTTAGCTTCTTTCAGTTTGTGTCTGAAGTTAAACAGAACCAGGACAAAATAAATAATATTTCCAGACTCTGGTAATCAAATCTGTAGCCAAAATGGAGAAAAACAACCAACTAAAACTTCAGTTTCAAGATGAAATGGGAAGAATGCACACAGACAGAAGATGTGATGATTGTAGAAAAGCAGGTTTATTGGAGGTTAGCTGGTTCATAATCTACAGGGGATAAAAATGTACTTTAAGACGGAGCCTAACAGCACAGTGAGTTCAGTCTACCCTCCGTTTGATCACCTCTGTGGCGCGGAGCAGCTCGGCCTTCAACCAGCTGCAAGACAAGAGGGAGCAGGGAGGACAAGGGTCTGGATGAGTGAACGGCAAAACTTGATTCAGTCGCTGAAATGCTGGAACTTGTTTTTGTCTCAGTCCATTTAGGCTGATGGTTACATTCAGGAAGCGTAAACTAAACATTCACAGCTTTCTAAGGAACAAACAAAACGGGTTAGAAGGTTAGAGACACAACGATCAGCTGAAGAAGTTCAAGAATCAGGAGATTTCCAACATCTAACGCCACAAACAAAAGGGAAACCAAGACTCAACCTGAGCAACAGGCCTCTGGAAATACAGTATTCAACATTTATCACCAGACTTCATGAAAAAAGTGACAGGAACCTGACTACAGGCGGAGGGAACCATCGAAGCTCTCTGGTCGATTATTGACTGTATTTTGTGAACATTCAGGTTTTGTAATCAAACTTGTATCTATGATTAGAAATGTAGAAGAAAAAGCAAATATGAAAGTGGCTCCTTGGCATTTAAATATGGCAACAGACAAAGATTAACCACAACTAGATGTCTCATCCATTCATTCATTTAGACGAATGACTGATCCAGTAAAACTTCATTTTGTTTTCAGCTGCAGATTCTGCATTAGAGAAGGGGCAGTGGGTCAGGCTCTCTACCTCCTCACTGCTGTTTTACATCACATCAACCGAGTTTTGTCTGTTTGCCATATGGAAGACCAGGTGCTGCTTTTGGTCTCTGCTGCCAGGTTTCAGATACAAACACGAGTCCTTCGGGCAAAGATGAAGGGGACAAATCGAGTTTTTGTAACAGGAAGAAAGAATAAAACATGAATAAAAACGAGGATGAGTTGGTTCCAAAGAAACTCTGCAGCACCAACAGCAGGAAAACAACAGACTGTACAAACTGATGTAACACCGTGTTACAGGAAATTTCTGCTTCTCTGCTGAAAACACTACTCCGTCCATTTCCCAGAAAAAAAAACAAGGTTCTGATTGATTTTACCAATTAACCCGGCCTGTAAAAGCTCCCTTTCTAATGCACAGAGGGGTCATCAGAGGGCGGCAGCAGCAGATGGTTGAACTAATGGATAAACAAATGAGAGAACAGGATTCACATCTCCAGGCACCGAGACCCGAACATGAAACCGGTTCTGACTGAGTTCTGGTCTAAAAGCTAAAACAAACTCTGCAAAACCAGAAACTCCTGAGAAACGATGGAAATATTACCGAACAAAACGATTGGTAAAATGAAAACTGCAACATTTTAACTCTTTTATATCAGCTTTAGGGTTGCAACCAACTATTATTCCAGTAATCAAATATCCTGAAGATTAATTTGGATAAAAATAACTGGCATATTCCCAACTTTTCTTTTTTTGCATCCAGCTACTTCAACTTTTTTAATACAATGTTAGAAATACAACAAAAGATGCAAACAAACATTTCAATTTATGTCTTTAAATAAGAAAATAAACATTTATCGTCTAAATTGCAGCATCAGCATTACACTTGATCATTTGTAGCAAAGGTATCATGTGTAAATATTTTGAACATGTTTGGCTGAATTACTGCTCCGAATACAACTAACCTTTTTAGAGTGCATTTCCTTCAGCTAACAATAAATTACCAAACCACTTCAGAATAATTTCAATAATAGATTCATCACAATTAATCCGACTAATTGTTTCAGTCTTAGCTGATTAATTTCAAAGCTGATTCCGATTCCTGAAACTTCTAGAAGATTCATTAATTATGGGATCTGTAAAAGATGCATGATGGAGACGAATGTCTTTCAGATGAAAACCAGCATAAAGGTGGTTTGATGGAAGCTGCATATGTAGATATTTATCATGCATATCAGGGTTCTCATACTTTTTGTTTCCTGCAGGTCATCATAACTATTATAGCTTCTTATCCTCCTCAGCCAATGAAATCAGAGTTTTTATGGAGGCAGAAACAGCAGCAGCTGATTTTATCATCTAAAGCATAAACATTCTTCACCATCCATCTTTTAGTTTGAAAAGGATCTTAGATAGGATCTCCAGACCTCACGCATCGAGATGGGAACAACTTTTTCTACGATTATCCACACCTGGAAAATACATAAATCTTATTTCGGGGAAGGTGAAGTTATAGAAGAAGAAGAAGGATCCACAAAAAACAACGAGGCCCAAAAAGAAAAAGGGAAAGTTAAAGAGCAAGAGAGTCCAGCAACGAAGGTCAACACTGAGGGAATGTTTTCTATGGAGTTCAGATCAGCTAAATGTCATAATTCAGTCACACTTTCAACATGTTATCACCATGGAAACAAGAGCACGACTGGCTCATTAAGCTCCTACTTTCCTTGTTTACATTCCAACATTAGATTTTCTTGCCACTCTTGTAATCTCCAACGAGGAGGGAAAAAAGAGGAAGGAAGAGAAGGGTTAAACAAAGAAGACTTGGTCTTTACAGGCGGTGGCGCGGGCTGGGGCGGCCGTGGCTGCGGAGAAGGCGGCCACGATGGAGGCGAACACCACGCTGGGGCTCTGGGAGGCGTCCACTGCCGTGTGCAGGCCCCGGGTGCTGTAGTACTGCACCAGGGGGGACGTCTGCCGGTGGTAGGCGTCCAGGCGGGAGCGGAGCGTCGTCTCGTTGTCGTCGCTGCGGCGGATCAGCGGCTCGCCCGTCACCTGGGAGGAGGAGCAGAAGCATCAGGACGAGGCCTCAGGTGGGAACAATCAGTTACAGGCGAACTACTGGAACCAAAGTTATCATAGATAACTAAAACTAAAACTGAAAAAACATTTTATTAATAAACATGGAGAATAATGGGGTAAAAAAACTATAACTAACTGGAACACTACTGTGAGCTTATAAAACTAAAACATAATGAAATTATAGATACAATATCCTTTGTTTTCATGTTTATGAACCCATAAGCCTTTTGAACTGATGTGAAATTGATTCCTCCTCAAAAGTTTTACTTCAGTCATCGGCAAATTACAGCACTTCCTTTTCTTCCTGGTGGCGCTAAGCTAGCTGCAAAACGGCGACAGCAAAAGTTTGGAGGAGACGCCAGAGTCAGTTGGTTGTTCAACAATAACTGAATTCATTTTTAGAAAATTGCATCTTCGGCATGCACACATAATCACAATACTTTGGTTCATTTTTAGGTGCAGAATTCAAAAAGGTCAAAGTATGAAAAAACTAAAACTACTGCCGTAGCTAATAAAATGTAAATATGTAATTACTAGCTAGCAAACAAACAAACTCTAAAATCTAACTTAAGCTAACCAAATTAGATAAAGTCATAACAAAATAAAACTAAACTGAAATGAAAGACCAAAAACCATCACGACCCTGCCTTAAACAGGTTAGGCCATGGTTATGGGCTTTTCAAGACCTGTTTATTACATTTTAGCACAAAATCAATCTTAGAAAATGAGATTTTAGTCTGATCAGTTGTGCCTGTTTTAGGGCCTCTGTCACTTTAAATCCAAACAGCTGCTGCTGGCCACGATCCACAACTCAACATTTACACCCGCATGTGAAAAAGTCTACAAACAGAAGCACAATTACACAGTCTTTGAAAAGCAGAAGTGGAGCCTCCTGCATAACCAGCAAGAATGGAGCAAGTGGGATCTGGATGGTAAGTCAACAACAAAACACTTTTCTTTTCCAGTACAGTGGTGACATGGAAACAGTTCAAAAACAAAAAACATTAAGTTAATGCCAAAAACACAGAGAGGTGTTTTTTTTTTAAAGCTCTTGAGCTTAAAACAAAAAGACTCAAATCTAAGTACAAAAGTGTGCAAAATGTGAGTTTTGTGTAATGGGTTCTCTTTTAATTCCTGCATGTTGCTACTTGTTGCAGCCTGAGGTGGAGGCAGGAAGCAGGAAATTATCACAGAAAATAAACAACAAAAGCACCGAGCTACTGAGTCAACACACACTGACAAGTTGTGACAGTAGACCAAACAAACCACAAGAAATTCCCAACATACAACATTTCCGTGTCATAACTGAACACATAAAATTCCAGGAACATCTTGGATAATTTATTCAGAGGCTGAAGAATGAATACATTTAAACCAGTCAACGTCTAGTTGAATTAAAATCCTCTAATTTGACTCTGTTGGTCATTCCAGATGTGGTGTGAAGGTTTAGGAGGAAATATTTTAGAAAATCTTTCTAATCCTTTGAATTTTATAAAAATGCAGTGCAAATACTAAATCATTATACAGAGATGTTTTTCTGCTAGATTTTATTAAAACTAAAAAAGACAAAAGTTGATGATTTTTGTTACAGGAAATGACATCAGGGATGCAGCTTCAGCAGGAACTGGAGTCTCGGATGAGTTTAATGTTAACATTGGCTCCACATAAAACATACTAATGCAGAAAATTCAGAGTTTCACTTCACACTTTTTAGAGATGTGTTGTAAAAACTCAAAAAATAAGCAACAATAATAATATCACTTAATCAAGTTCTTTCTAACATTCAGCAATACAAAATATGTAAAAATCCTAAAACTGAATGTTTAAATGTTTAAATAAATACATCTATGTATGATGATTTAATAGTTTTTCAGGGTTTGGACATTTGAAATGCAAATTAGTGTTTAATGATCCAATTCTGATATTTAGGGTCATGATTCGGTTCAGATGTGATTTTTCATTCACAGACAAATGTTTCTATTCAAACGATTTAGAAATAATGTGAGATGGTGAAAACAACTAGAATATTTTAAACAATTCTATAGGGTCATAATATGGAAGCCCATTTCTGCCACTCTGGTTAAAAGTAAATAAATCTCTTCATATTGAGATTTTCTGTCGTCGTCACAACCCTGAAGCTCTAAAAGTTTCGCTTTAACGAAGCCATTCTGGTTCTGGCAGAGCCATTCTTACATCTGCCATTACGAAAAGGTCAGTGGATGTTACAAAATAAAAAAAGTCCTCCACCAGCAGCCACTTCTGCCCACCTAGATGGAGACGCAACAGCTTTTCAGACTGAAACTGGGTCACAGCTTTCTGAAAAACAAAACGTGTCTGAAAGTGAAAAGAGGCCAGTTGTTGAAAAGCAGCTCAACTCTGACCCATTTTCAGCCTGAGAGTCACTCAGGTGGGCGGCGGGTTGCTCAGACTGTTTTCCCCAGCAGGCCGGAGCAGAAACTACTTACGTCATCCTTCATGTGATGTTTGGGGGGGTTGAACTCCTCGTGGTAGGAGCGGCCGCTGGGCTGGTGGATCAGCCTGCGGAAGCAGAGCGGGTCAGTGAGTCACTGTCCTTTCACATCCCACACCATGTCCTACTTGGACCTTGTCGTTGCGACACGATGCCCCGCAGACACACATGACTGCATAAACCGAGGTCGCATCGGGTATGATGCAGTCGAGACGACAACTAAACATTTCACAACATGCTGCAGGCCAATCTGAAAGCTGCTCAGACCAGAGAACATCGACTTCACCACAAATCGTCCCCAACGTAGGCGGAGCTGGAAACTTGATTTACTCAGTCGGTTATGAAAATGATCTGGCACAAAACCAGCTGGCCCATATTTCCAGGCTTTACCAACTGAAAGGGCCGATACCTGAACATCACTGCAGACCTGAACCTTCAGAGCCACATAAAGACAGCTTCAAAGTCAGTCTTCCATCACCTGAAGAACATTTCCCAGTAAAACCAGGGAGATGGAGCGCATCACCCCAGTTCTAAAGTCCTTCCATGACTCTCTGGAGCTCAGAGTATAAACGGTAAAATCCTTCTGTTGATTTATAAATCACTGAACAATTAATCACCAAAACACATTAAAGAACCAAACATGGAGAAGCAGCTTTCAGCTTCTACGCACCACAAATCTGGAACAAACTTCCAGAAAACGGCAAAAGAGCTGAAACACTGAGCTACTTTAAATTAAGTCTGGTTCAGTCTGTTTGGAGTTGCCTGTGATTATTAGTAACTGGATCATTATCAATATAATTGATGAGTATTGATGATTTTGATGATGGCATTTGATAAAATGCCATCATCTCTCTCATAATTGGAGAGTCATGTTTTTATGATGTAAAGCACTTTGAACCGACTGGTTGATGAAATGTGTTATACACATATAACTTATATGTACATTTTTGGAGGGTTTTTTTTAAATCTAGATTCTACAAAAACAAGACCTTGGTTAATGTTTCATCTTAAGCACTATGAAGATGAGATAAATGTAGAAACATCTTTAATAAACGAGGATTACTTTCTTTCAGTTGTCTGTCATTGTGGCCAGTTTTATTTTAGAACAGGGGCCATACAACAATCACTCAGAGGGCCACAATTAGTCACCGGGCCGTACTTTGGATATGCCCTACCAATCCATTTTCTTGAGGAACAACTATAAATACAGACAGTACCAACAAATGAGTCACAAAAATGTGTTTTTACAGTTTTAAAGCTGATGTTTCGGTACCTGCTCTCCAGATTTGGCCCTGTAGTGGTGGAGTACTCTCTGAAACCACCAGAGGGCGACAGCCATAATGTTTATAAGGAGAATTCTAGTTTTTCAGGACAAATAAAATGTGGAGAATTTTTTACTAAATCACAATTTGATTCCGATTTTTAGGACCAGGATTCGGTTCAATATCCTCTTTAAGAACTTGTAGGAGCGTGCTCAGTAGTCATAATCTGTTTCTGTTTACAGAACAGACAAGAAAAGCAACAATATGATTCACAACTCTGAAAATCACTTAAATGATGAAATATGTAAAACCTCCAAGATGTGGACTTTAAAGTACATCATTTATTTAAACTCATGTTTTAGTTCAGCGATTTTGCAGAACTTCCTTCAACTATTTTCTCAGCTCTGATTCATCCTAAAAGCCATGAGCAGTCCTATTAACAACACCGTATTTAACGAGTTAAAACTTTAGAAAGACTTAGAAGGTCAACATAACAGCCTGAAAGCGAGCTGCTTTTAAACTCCAGCCCATTTCTGAGGTAAACACTTCACTAAAGATCCGCTGTAAGACCTTCCTGCTGCAAGACTCTCCAACACCTTCAGGCCACCTTCTGTTAATTGCATGATTTCACACTCCACTTGTTTCCAGCATTATCACTCTGTTCCAGACTCTCCTGAATCAATCTGCCGACCCGAGCAGGATTAAGATGCAGACAGCATGAGGATCATCGGAAAACTCTGGAGCGCCATCTGCTGGTGCAGGAAAACCAAGTGGACTTTTCCTCCAGCTCCAGGACGGTTAGAGGTCGTCCTTCCTGGCTCCATGAAAATAAAGCTTTTCTGAAAATATTTTGGGCGTGTTCTCAGGTTTAATGAAGAACTTTAATAAAATGCTTTTGATTTGTTGACTATTAGGTGCACTCTTTTCTATTTGAACCCACAATTTGCCAAGGACAGTGGTTCCCACATTGAATGTAAAAAGTTATTCTTCCTTTAACAGGTTCAAATAGGGCGATACAAAACATGTTCATTACATTTTTAACAAAATCATTCTTGGATAATGAGATTTTAGTCTCTTAGTGAAAATGGTTGCAAACAGATGCGCAATTACACGACCGTCCATTTTTGAAAAGCAGAAGTGGAGCCTCCTGCACAACTAACAAGAATGCAGCAAGTAGTCTCTGGATTATAAGTCAAAAACAAAACACTTGTCTTTTCCAGGAGCCATTGTAGAGCAGATACCAGGTGACCGCACATCGACAGTTCTACTTCGGTCTCTTTATTTTTTAAAGGGGGCCACATTATGCAAATTTAACATTTTGCACATTTTTGTACTTCCACTTGGGTTCCTACCGCTTCTAAAAAAATGGCAACAACATGATGTCTGAAAAATTAAGTCATTTCAAAATTCTCCCTGAATGTAGCGTCACAAATCAGTTGAGTTGAGCTCCAGTTTGGTCAGCTGGTTTTCCCACTGTATGTGCTCTACAATGGCTGCTGGAAAAGACAAGTGTTTTGTTGTTGACTTGTCATCCAGAAACTATTTGCTGCATTCTTGTTGGTTATGCAGTAGGCTCTAACACTTTTCAGAGATGTACAGTTGTATAATTCCACATCTGTTTGCAACCATTTTCAAAGAGTGCGAGTGTAAACGTTGAGGCGTGACCAGCATCAGCTTATTAGGATTTAAAATGACAGAGGCCCTAAAACTGCTCGAAACAGGCAGGACTGATGAGACTGAACTCTCATCCAAGAATAAGTTTGTGCAAAATGCAAATTAAGTGTTTATACAGCATGTTGCCCTATTCTAACCTGTTTGAGGAATCTCAGTAGGTCTCCTTTAAATCATACCTAATGACTACAGGCATTAGGTATGATTTAGATGGACCAATAAGTCAACGCTCTGGCTTCAGGCTCAGCTCCTCCACCCAGACCAATTTACAATAATCGCTTCAAAAGAGAAAACTCCAGTCAGAAATGAATAAGTCTATTGATGTTAGCAGGCAGAACAAGTTACCTCTATGCAACATGCAAGCCGTGTTTCACTGGATTTTCAACTTTGCTGCACTTTAGGTAGCGCTGGTCTAGATCAATCTGGCGCTCTGCAGATCAGTGCAGCATAGAGACACATCGTCTTTTCTGAGACCAGGACTCGCGTCTAGGGTTGAGAGCACCTTTAATATTTACCGACCCATCTGACTGCAGACGGGATTCTTAGAAATGTATCCATATTAGATACATTCGGACTGCCTTCACTGCAAACAAAATATTTGTGACGTTAGCACTAAATTCTAGTGACTATCTTAGGACACTTGAAATAAGACAAAGCTAACTTACAAAGAACTTTTTAGCAATAAATAGGGGGTTGTTTTAAGTAAATAATTCCTTAATGTTGATGAAAAAGTTGTAGTTCCACTGACAGATTATTTCACTAACATGGGAAAAATATCTTGCTGTAAATAAAATAACCCCCACTAATGAAAACACAGAATCTTCAATACGATCGAAACACCGTATAGAGGTTAAATTAACACTAAAAGTTTGGCCAGATGAGATCCAACTTGCTTCCCATGCAGGCCAATGTTAATAAACTGTAATAAAATAATTTATTGCCAAAACGAAGGATGATATTTATTGTTCAGAAACATTATTCCATAAGTTTTGAGGAAACAGAAGCAGTGCTGTTCTGTTCCCACCAACAATGTGTTTGACGAGCAGCTCAAAGGTGACACCTAGTGGTCAAATCTGCATCCTGCACAGCATTTCCAATCAGGTTACTGGAACAACTTTAACTGCAGCTTCACAACAAAACGTTCAAAAAGAAAATATTTTCAGGTCAGGATGAAGCTCCTGCTCTGCTGGTTCTCTGTTTAAACTCATCCTGGTTTATCCCTGAACCCAGCAGGTTTTAGCACCAGACCAGCTCAGACACGCTGTGACTGCAGCTCCGGTTTCTTATGGCTCGGAGGCAAAGCGTTTATCCTGCAAGTTAAACTCTGGCTGTGAATCGGAGGAGCAGCTGTCATGGAAAGCATAAATCAGCTTTCAGTTCCAGCTGCCAGTCAAACTGAGTCACTTCTGAATGATTAGTTTGTTTCCTACCTGCCGCAGATCCGGCGAACCAGCAGGGAGTCGTCTACGGAGAACTCGATCACAGAGTCCAGCTTCTCGTCCCTTTTGTCCAACAAGTCGTCCAGCTGAAGGACAAACAGCACAGAGGACGTTGAGCTTCATCGCTTGTCTTCATAAATACGTAAACCCAGAAGTTAGATTATTTTCCCTGGTTAGTTTCATAGAACCTGATGAATAAAATATGAGGACTAAATGTTGTTGCGAACCATTTCTGCTTGTTTGACCGTTCTGGGAAAGCCGTCCAGCAGGAAGCCGTTCCTGCAGGCGGTCGTGTCCAGGTTCTTCTCTATGAGCTCCACCACCATCTCATCGCTGACCTGCAAGAAAAAAAAAAAAAACGCTCAACAACTTCCTGCAACTTTATCTACCAGACAATGTGATATCTGCAGATAGCACAGTGTGTAATTAACTGTCACGAACACCACAGGAAGCACTAACAGCCTCTAAATTACCAAAGGAAATGACATCAGAGGTGGTAATAATGAAGTCCTACGACTCCCACTGACATAAAACCTAAACTTTAAAGGAACAAACACAAAGCTACGGCTTCCTCCTGCCTTCAGTTCATGACAGTTTGAAAACATAAAGGAACGGCAAAGAGAAAGTACACCCTCCAGGCTACAGTAGAGTTTTAACATTGAGTCAATTTTTATCTGATTTAATTTGACCTTGATGTGCAAAAACACACAAACTGCAGCTTTATCAGTCAGTAACGATGAAAAAGGACAAAAAAACTTTAGAAATAAAACGAAACGCACAGATCCCCTTTTTTTCAATTACGATACCGATATCTGAGGTTTAGTATCGGCCGATACCGATCCGATACAGAAAAACTGACTGAAACGTTTCTTTTTTTAAATACAGACATAAATGGACTGAATGGTTTGGTCAGTCAGTGCAATTAGGAGAATAACAGCCAACATAAAAAATATACCAACAAAAACAACAGGTTGACTACTTTGGTGAAACGTAAAAAAAATAAAAAATAAAACAGCATAAAATGTTCTTTCAAATGATTCAGAAAGTGCAATTATGAAAACTAAATATAATGAAAAATAAACAATACAGCATAGAACTAGACTGAACAGATCAGCCCTTATGGATCAGGCACAGTAATTGATAACCTGAGGCCGATACAGATATTAATATCAGATTGATGCATCACTAGTAAAAAGTTCTCACCAATACAATATTTTACTCAAATTTCTCACCAAACTACATTAGAAAATATCTTAAAATGACAAGTTAGACAATGTGTCGCCTTTCTTGCTTTACTTTTTGAAAACACATGTGGCTCAGATGTTCAGGTTGTTATGATTTTATTTTTTTGAGGGGATGATATGAAAGCAGGAATGTTTTACCAGCTTGCCGGAGTCCATGGTCTCCTTCAGCCTCCTGCCGAGTTCAGAGCCTGAAGCCACCATGGCCCTCAGCATGTCTCCTGTGGCCAGGTGGCAGACGCAGTACTTCTCCGCTAACCGGGGAGCCTGCAGGGACGAGACAGACACACACACACACACACACACACACACACACACACACACACACACACACACCTTCAGCTTACCAAACAGTATTCAAAACAGATTTGTAAAAAAAAAAAATCAAATACAACTTAAAAAGAAAGGAAATTTAGTCAAAGTTTAGATTCAGAACGGCGACAATGGAAAGATGCATTTCAATTTAATATGTTAGTTTATGAACATTTTTGATGCGCTGCAAAAACAAAAATATAGGAGCTTGTTTTAAGTAAATAATTATTTAATATTGGTGAAAAAGTTCTAGTTCCACTGGCAGATTATTTCACATAACACAGGAAAAATTTCTTATGAGTGAAATAATTTGCCAGTGGAACTAGAACTTTTTCCATCTCTATTAAGGAATTATTGACTTATTGAGGAATTATTGAGCTTCTATATCTTCCAGAAAAGTTACTTGTAAGTTAGTTTTGTCTTATTTCAAGTGTTCTAAGAGATTTGCACTAGAAACAAGACAAAAATACTTTAAGATGTTGTATTTTTGCAGTGCAGAAAGATTAAATATCTCAAAAAAAGAAAACCATTGTGATTGAGCAATATGGCATGGGATAAGCTGGTATTTTGTTGTGCATTTGAAATATGTCTGTAGCAATTTGAGTTGAAAAGCTAACTTTCTCTTTGTGTGAATGTTCTAAGTTCATACTTCTTATTGATTTTATCTGTTTATTGTGTTTTGAATTGAGTTTTTAATTCATTTTTTTGTGCTCAGCTTTGTCACATTATTTTTCTTTTATCTTGTTTGTTATTGATGTTCAGCACTTTGTTTCAGCTGTGACTGGCGTTAAAGCGCTTTATTTTGAAGTTGATGATGATGAATTTACTTTGAAAGAATCAACAGTGAGTGATTTTTGCAGTGGGGAAAAGTTCAGAAGGAGAAACGGAGACATTCCTCTTCCTGAGGAATCCCAAGGCGTTCCGAGGCCAGACAGGATGTATAATCCCTAAAGTGATTTATCTGGGTCTCTGCCCTGGGATGTGGCTGAAAAAGCTCCAAACTGAGGCTTCAGGAGGCAGGGTTGCACGATTTTAGAGACTCCAGTGATATTATTATAAGTTAGTATTTCTGTGCATTTTCTTCTGTCCTCTCTTTTTCAGTGTTTCCATTATTCTGTGACCTTTTATGTAATGCTGCTGTGAAACACTGCCCAACAGACTCAATGTTACATTAGCATGAAAGATGCAAATTCACAGGATTTGGAATATATTAGTCATTACACTCTGAACAATCCTTTACAATCTGAAAATTTCACATACTGATATTGCTTTGACGAAATATTGAGACAGCATTACTGGCTTCCAATTCATTTGTCCATTTCTTGTTCCGTCTTGCAATCGCTCTGAACAAAAACCAATAAATTTATGGTTTTTTTCCCTACACCTGATAATCTGGTAAACTAGATTAGATTTGAAGTCAAAATTGCAATATTTGTTATATTTTCAGCTGCTGTTGTTCTCTTTCACACTGCTCAGCAACCAGTTCCCCTCCTCACCTGTGGTAGCACTGTAGCAAGAACTTCTGAAAGAAATGACATGAAAACCTTTGAGCGCAGCTGTAAATAAAACACGAACTGTAAATAAAAATGGAGTGGGTTCAAATTTTAGCTGTTGTAGGATTTCACTTTTGTCTTTGGTGAAAGCCCATGAGCCATTTCCCCTCATTAGCGGTAGACTCACATTTGTTTTGGTTGTATTTACCCAGAAAGCCTTGCTCTGCTTCCTGTTTTTGGAGCAGGTTTGGTGTTTGCATATCCATTCAATCCGGGCCGGAGTTCACTTCAACCGAACTGAGAACGTTTATAACATTATACAACTATGCATTTCTGAATATTTATGTTTATTATATGTTCATTCATGTACACATAAATAGACGTTGGAGTAATTTATTATTTGAAATGGAAACTAGTAGAAACGTACGGCTGAAAGTCATTGAGAATCTGAATGACAGCTGAGCTTCTTCCCATTTAAAGAATTAACCAATGTCCTGATTACTTTAAAACAAACTGGGAGGTTTACTGGTGTCAGTAACATGTCCTGTCCTGCAAAATCTATGAAAGTCCTGGAAGATTAAAATCAGGAAAAACTGGTTGGGGATTTTGGTTTTAAGCCACAATTTAGCTACAAACAAACCTTAAAAATAAATAAATTAAAACATTTTATCGTTCTAGACGTCATTGAATTTAGTCAGGACGGCCCTCACCGAAATAAAACTGAAATTTCATTTTTTATCACACCAGTTAATAACAAAGTGATACAGTATTTATTGATAAAAGCAATAAAGGTTAAAGTTCTTATTAACTAGTTATCGATTATGCGCACTTCACCTCTCTTTCCTCAAAGCTAACAGCTACTATTAGCAGCATTAGCTCGCCGCGAGCCTCACCTGAGTCCCTTTCCCGGCTCCGGGAGGTCCGAGAAGGATGGCTCGAATGCCGTCCTGTACATCAGCTATCGCCTCCTTTAACTGCACGCTGGGGGCCATGACAGCACCGGAGGGGGGACACCAAGCAGAAACTTTCCAGAAGTCTGTCGGTGCGGCGGTGCTGACACTTCAGCCAAGTTGGCCAGAAAGAATGAGCCACATCCTCCTTTTCAATACGAGACCTTAGCCCCGCCCATACCAGAGCAAATCCGCGATTTGATTGGTTGGCAGTCGAGTCAATTTACGTGTGTAGCACAGGATTGGAGGAAGCATTACACCGCTTCCGGAAAACGTTTAAAGGAACGCGCACTATTTTATTCCCCACATTCTTTCACTGTAAAATATCACTTTCTTGAATTTATTTGGGGTTTTTGACAGCGGTAAGCACGGAATTGTTTATTTACGCCTTAATTAAAAGTAACAACAAATACTTTCCGTTAAAATTTTAAACTAAGTAGCTGCACACTAAAATATAATGGGAAATGCATTTTAAACCTCAAATAAGAGAACAACTTTGAGTAAATATTTTGGAACACAAATCATTTTGATGAAGAAATTATTTTAGAGACTTTATGACTTGTGTTGCTTCAGAAAAATACTAGGTTATGTTTAGAATACCTTTCAGATTGGTGTGAACCTGTCATTGCTCAGGTGTATTGTCTCCTCCCTGCCTGCAGGAAGCTTTAAAAACTCTGTCTCTTCTGACCTGCATTTCTCTGTCAGACTCCCAGCAGAAACGCGTCTGAAGCTGCTGGAACAAACAGCAATATGAGGTTCACAAAATCAGCGCCCAGAGGTGAGCTTTTTCTCCTGCGTTTCGTCATAGTAGTGAAAATCTGAACTCATGTTTGACTCCATCAGATCGATTTCTTCATGTTTTTTCACACAGATAATGCTACTTTAGTGGATGACAACATTTATGATGATGTCATGGTTTCAAAACAACAAGGTTTGAACAAAAAATATTGTTTTTAATGCCAATTTGTGTTTTAATAAAGTGCGATTTTTAGTAGTCTTGTCAAATGTAATTTTTTATTAGCCCAATATTTGTTTTAGTGGTTTGATTGTTACTGTATCTGTCCATAAATTCACATTTTCTGTTTTTCTGAAATTTAACTATCAAACTAATGTTTGACTCCATCAGATTTATTTCTTTATGTTTTCTTTTTTTATGCAGATGTTTCTTCAGTGGCTGACGAAATTTATGATGATGTCATGGTTTCCAAACAACAAGGTTTGAAAAAAAAATCTAATTGAAATGTGTGTGCCACTTAATCAGAACAAGTTTAGGCTTTGAGATTCATTATGAAAATTATTTTTATAAACCTAAATTTTTGTTTCAGTGATTGGATTGTTACTTGATTTGTCTGTAAATTGACACTTTCTGTTTTTCTGAATTTTAAGAATAGGCTGGACTCCATCAGATTAATTACTTTATGTTTTTTGTGCAGATAATGTTTCTTCATTCGCTAACAACAGCTGCACTGAAGACCAGCTTTCGAAGCAGAAAGGTTTGAACTAAAACTAACATTTCTGAAGGCATCTGGTGTGCAAGTAAATTTTAATAATTTGAAGCTTTTATGTCTGATGTTTTAATTATGTTTTTATGGTTACTAGAATTTAATCTGAGTTAATTCCTTGTGCATATTACTGTTAGTTTATTGTTTTATCATTGTTGATCTAAAATACTTCCTACCTGTGGAATATGTCACTGCAGGGAACAATGGGCTTGACTTCTCTCTTTCTGCAACAGTCAACTGTGAAACAAAACAACATTTATGTTCAATTGAATATTATTGATAATCTGAAAACTTTCATATCGGAAACTTGCTCTGGTTGTTCTGCTTAACGCGTTCCGCTTTGTAATCTCTGTTGCTAAACATGGAAGCCTATCCCTCACCAACCTGTTGCCACTTTATTAGGTACGCTGCCTTGTTAGTACTGGGTTGAAAGCGTGATTTTCCTTCACAGCTGGTGAATTCTGACACAAGTTGGACATGATGTCAGACACATTCCTCAGAGACTGCCGTCCATATTGACATGATAGCATCACACAGTTCCTGCAGATTTTTATCCAGTTTTACATTTATTCGGTATGAATGAATGCAAATTCACTGCAAGATAGAAGCATCTCTCTACAAGAGAACCATCTGCATATCAGAACAATAGATAGAAAAAATGGCATGGAGTAAAATTTCAGGAGGAGTTTAATCTCAGAAATTTTCTAGACATTTCTAAATTTAAAAAGTCAAAAAAAAATATACATTTGAAACTCAGAAATTTAGTTTTGTTCTGAGATCAATCTAAAAATTAAAAAAAAATTCATAGCAATTTCTTTGACTTTTCAAATTTAGAAATTTCAAAGTTTATTTATAGAAAATATCTGACAAATTTCTGAGTTTTTCTCCATACATTTTCTACTTTTTGAGCTAAAACATTTTCCTTTATCTATTATAGAACATTTTACGGATTAATCTAAAACATTCTGCATTTTTTGCACATATTTTGACTTTTGGAGTTCAGAAATTTCTCCATGCATTTGGTTGTAACAAACAGGAACTCTTCAGTGATCTTCCCCTTCTCTCATGACATCAATATGACAGTTTTGTCCACAAAACATTTTCATATTTTCAGTTTAATTTGGTTATATAATTTATTCCCTCCAGAAATTTCTTAAACACAATAGCATCTTGTCTTAAATTTTCATTTTATGTAAATTTAATTAATAGCAAATTTGTGCTTTCTACTCACTTTGTGCGCCTTTTCAGAGGGCATTGTCATTTATTTTGTTCTTATATTATACTGCAATACTTCCTTTTGCCAGTTTATTTATAATGTGGTAAATATCTTCATGCCCAGATGTAGCAGCACTTTCACCTTTCATTTGTTCTCACCATTCAGCAGATCTGCAGCAACCCGGACTGGACAGGAAGTCCAAAATATCTCCAGAACACGCTGTCCTGCTGGTTCTCATGGCTCTCTTGGTCATTGCAGTCTTTGCTCTGAGCATCAGTGAGTTTTTTTTTTCAACTTTGAAGTCAAATAAAATAAATAAATAAAAAGTTTTTACTTGAATTTTATGGCAGGTCGTTGTGTTACATTGGAGATTCATAAAATTAGATGCATGTTAGTTAGGAAAACATTCCTTTTTAGCAAAAACATTAATTATTATATATAAATTAATATGTTTTATTTCAGTAAATCTTACCAGTTGCAAAATGTTTTAATATCTAACAGATACTATAAGATCTGTAACAACAATGGCTTTTTGGGGTGATATTTCAGAATTACAAATGTCTGTTTTTGGAAGTTTGCATGTTATTTGAATATTATTATGATTATTCCCTCTGAACAGTCTCCCTCTGTCTGTTACGCTTTTGTTAAAGTCCAGACTGAAAACTCACATATTCCTTCTGCCTTCAACACCAGTTAAAGAGAAAAGTCAAAGGATGGAAGAAAATTGCTTCTGCTAAATTTTCTAAATTGTTTGATTCTTATTCATACGATTAGCTTTTGGAATCTTTGCCAGTTTTATATTTGTCTCATTATTTTTTACTAAACTTAATTTTATTTCCACTCATCTACCTGTGATGATGTATTTGTTGTGAAGCCCTTTGGTCAGCTGAGGCTGTAAATGTGTTAAATAAATAAACTGTGATTTGACTTGACGATTTTTGCATGAAACTTATTTTTATCAGCTTATTTTTGCTTAAAACAGCTGTCTTTTATCTGATGAAAAATGAAAGGTGCCAAACCCTGAAGGAGGATCTGGAATCACTGAAGATGATTGCTTTAGGTGAGACTGTGAGGATTTAAAGTCCAGATTTAATGTTTCATTTTAAGCCTGTTAAAAATCTTTTGTTCTTCTTCACTATTTTATTTAATGTATTTGATATCTGTTGAATTTATTTTGAAAATGATCTTCAAAGTTGAACCACTCTTCTTTCTTGTTTCCACCCTTCTTTCTCAGTGTCTATCGCCTCCTGCAGTAAAAAGTCCAGCATTTGATCTTAGTTTCATTTCTGTCCTGTAGATTCTTGTAGATTGTAGCTGCAGGATTTCTCCAAAGATGTCTTCCCCCTGATTTTCTGAAGTTTTTGTTCTGATCTGTTTAAAGATGAAACATGTCCAAAGTGTGAAGCCGGCTGGGAGCGACACAGAGGAAGCAGTTATTTTTTCTCCAACTCTACATCATCCTGGACTGACAGCAGACATTCCTGCACTGATCTGGGATCAGACCTGGTGAAGATCGACAGCAGAGAGGAGCAGGTATGAAACTCTGCTGCAGGTTCAGCTTCTCTCTCATTTCATCATGATTCTTCATCTCAGCTCAGAAAAGTTTCACTTGTATCTTCATCAACTTTTTCTGCCTAGATGTTCCTGGAGATCAGAGTAAGGGAGATAATCAAGAATAATGAAACGTTCTGGATCGGACTGACCGACTCAAAGACAGAAGGCTCCTGGTTGTGGACGGACGGATCTCCACTGAACCAAAGGTCTGATTAATCTGAAATTATTTGGTTTAATTTCAAGAGTTAAAGTCACTTAAATTCACTTAAATCTGTCTTTCTGTCAGTTTGAGTTTTTGGGCTCCGGGACAGCCTGATTCTCTTAGTGGAGCAGAACTGGACTGTGTGGGGATGATGAAGACAGAAATCCCTGATGAGGTCCGATGGTATGATAGACATTGTAATGATAATCTGAGAAGTATCTGTGAGAAAGATTCAAAAATCCAGCTGTGTTTCTGTGTGTGAAGTTCAGTCTAGAAAACAGCTTCAGATCTCTGCACATTTTAAAATATTCTTTTAAAAACATGTTAATAGNAAATTACTTTGATTTTAGAAGATATTTACTTTATTTTATTTGTAATAACAGCAAATCTCCTGTTGAATATGTAAAATTAATAAAGGTTTTTCAGCTTTTATGAGTTTCCTGTTTTCATTTTAATTATTAAACATGAAGCTCATGAGGTTAAGTCATGAACTCCACTTCACAGTTGCCTGAGTGTTTTGTCCATTAGTCCATACATATTTTCGGTCAATTGATCTGAAACATGACTGTCAGTGGCTCACTAGCGCTAGACTCCTCCTGCTGGTTGCATTTGGTTACTACAACCACTAAATCAAACTACCTTGACAGATATTTACCCCAAACTGCTGGCAAAACATTGTAAATATAAACAGTAACTTTGAAGTTTGTAATGGTTTCAATATGCAGATAAGTCCAGAACGAGAGTAAATGTACTTACAAGGAACATATTTCAAAACATCACACCTCAACCTCAGGTTTTGTCTTTTTTAGTCTGGTCAGTTCTCCTTTCAGAATGAGCTGTTTTAGGGCCTCTGTCACTTTAAATCCAAACGAGCGGCTGCTGGCCACGCCTCCGAGATCTATATTTACATTTGCAATGGCTGGAAACAGATGCACAACTATACAAAAGTACATCTTTGAAAGGTAGAAGTGGAGCCTCCTGCACAATCAACAAGAATGCAACAAAGCATTTGTCTTTTCCAGCAGCCATTGTGCAGCGAATACAGTGGTAAAACCAGCTGACCAAATGTTCTGGAGCTCAGTTCAGGGTGCTAGTTAACGTCACCGTGCCCATTGATTGTGACGTTAACTGGGAGGTTTTTGATACAGATCATTTTCCAGACACTAATAATCATTAACTAATCACCAAAAACCACCTGGGTGTTTTCTTTAATTGCTTCGGTTGTTTCTAGAAGCAGTAGCAACCTAAATGACAGTATGAAAATATTCAAAATGTGAATTTTATGTAATAAGTCCCTTTTAACTCAAAGGAGTTTTTTTCATCGATAGCAAAAATGCAACTCAACTTTTGCACTGGTGTACAGCTGAGAAGCTGCACTTTCTTACTTTTATTTATGTGAAAAGGTTTAAGGAGTTCTTTTACTTTTATTTTATCAATGTCTTTAGAACACAGATAATTTTGATATGGAAATTATTGTAGTTTTTGTGACTGATTCCTTTGATGTCACCTGTTTCAAAGTGAAACCATCATTGCTCAGGTGTGTCTGTCTCCTCCCCGCCTGCAGGAAGCTTTTAAAAGCTCCCCGTTTCTCCTGACCTGCAGTTCTCTTTCAGACTCCCAGCAGAATCATGCCTGAAGTTGAGGTAACATACTCTGAGGTGAAGTTCACCAAATCAGTGCCCAAAGGTGAGATTTTTTAAATTATGCTTTTCTGCATCGCAGTGAAAACTAAACTCATGTTGACTCCATCTGGTTTATTTCTTCCTGTTTCTTGAGCAGATAATAATTCTTCATCGACTGACACCACTTATGCTGAAGTCCAGATTTCGAAACAGGAAGGTTTGAACTAAAACTTATCTCTGCTCGTGTGTGAAGAAATTGTTATGCTTCTATTGCTATTTTTTTAAACACAGCTGTGTACATTGGTGATATGAGTGTTATTTTTTCATCTGTAAAAAATATTTACAGATGAAAATATTTATGTACACACAAAAAAANCTGCAATACTTCCTTTTGCCAGTTTATTTATAATGTGGTAAATATCTTCATGCCCAGATGTAGCAGCACTTTCACCTTTCATTTGTTCTCACCATTCAGCAGATCTGCAGCAACCCGGACTGGACAGGAAGTCCAAAATATCTCCAGAACACGCTGTCCTGCTGGTTCTCATGGCTCTCTTGGTCATTGCAGTCTTTGCTCTGAGCATCAGTGAGTTTTTTTTCTTCAACTTTGAAGTCAAATAAAATAAATAAATAAAAAGTTTTTACTTGAATTTTATGGCAGGTCGTTGTGTTACATTGGAGATTCATAAAATTAGATGCATGTTAGTTAGGAAAACAGTTAGAGCTAGACGAGTTTTCTCCGCCACCAGTTTAAATAGAATATCTCCTATAAACCTATTACTAGGGTAAGACCCGGGTTTTAGAGATTTTTCCGGACCTGTTAGACAGAGAACTGGTCAGTAGTCAGTCGGAGGTGAGATAAGGGTGGGGCTGGCTATTGCATAATAACGAACATGGCGTCCCTGGGTGGGCCCTGTCCGAATGAGAAGGAGGGCCCTACTTTAACCAAGTCGGTAAAAACAGATGTGAGGGTCTGAATAGCTCACTTGGGAAGCTAGCTCTTAGGGAATAGAGTTAGTGGTGACTGATGAGGCCGTCAGTCACAACCCTTGCAGTAACTGTATGGCATACAGGTGAGGGAAAGCTTCTACTGAGGATAAATGCGCATATCCAGACGGGAAGCCAGTAGCCAACATAGCCTAGACCCATCCCTGCTCGATAGCTTAAGAGAGGCTTTGGGGGATAGGCGACTCGAAGACAAAGACAACCATGGATGAAGGAAAAGAAGGAGAGGAAAAATTAAAGCTCCAGCAAAGAAAGATGGGGCAAGAGACAAGTGTCATCGGACAGGAGGGGGAGAGACAGTCCCGTCTCTCCGAATCTACATTACAAAATCTTCCAGTGAAACTGATACTACTCAGTGATGGATTGGAGTCCTGGACAAAGATCAACAGACGAGAATTCTACAGTCACCATTATTATAGCAATCCGGAGACGGCGCGGAAATTGATGGAGACCATGATAGAGCATCGGGGAGTCTACTACTGCACCCTGCTTGAGGGTAGTCACTGCCTGGGGATCGCCAAGTGCCCGACGAAGGTTTCCAAAAAGACAGAAGTCAAAGAATGGTTGGAGTGGTTTGCCGACCTCCTAGGAGGATGGACAGATGGCGAGTTACGGATCATCTACAGTCCTTCTGAAAAATATGACAGCATAGTGAAAACAGCGACGACAGCCACCGGCATCTGGGGAACCCCAATGTCCGAGGAGCGTCCCGTTACGCCGAGTATACTGAGGCCCTGCAGAGGCTTGCGGCATACAAGAAGAATAAAGAAAAGCAGCAAGCGCCAGACCTTGAGGAGTCGGAGATGTCTGAACCCCCGACTCGACAGAACAGCCGAGCCCCGTCGCCCCAAAAGATTCGAGACCTGATAGACCTAACAGGGAACAGCGACGAGGAGGACCGAGGGCTGCCCGGGCCTTCGGGGGACCAGGAGGAACCCCCTGCGCCGTCGAGTCGGGGAGTTGAAGGTGGACCGTTTGCTTATGGTCTCACCGAGAAAGACTGGGCGGTGGCAGCAGAAGAATGGTCTCCCCTGCGCAACAAAAAGACCGAGTTCCAGCCACAGGCACACAGCACGGAGAGGAAACCATCAGCTCCTCTGCGACAGCCACCTGGAAGCAGCTCAGATGATGAAAGAGATGACACGGACGTGGAGGAACGGGAAACCGACAGCCCCAGGAAGAAGACTCAGAAATCGAGCACCCGAAAGATGGCCCAAGAACTGGCTCCCTTACCTTCGGGGATCATCAGTGTTAGGCTGCAAACCGGGCTCAAAGTGCATCGATACATCGGAGAACCATGGGAAATTGAAGCTGACGGACTGATCGCGTTCACCAACGACAAGTATAAGATCCACAACCGACAGTTCAGGTCAGACCTTAAACTCCGGGCTGGGAAGGAATACCAACAAAGCCAGCACCTACTGAAGGCTTCGAGTACAGCAGCGACCAAGGGGGAAGTAGTCATTATGAATGGCTACAACCTGACCTATGGTGCGGTGATCCTGGTTCCGATCAACGCATACAAGAAAGGAGATAGCCTCGAGGACTACCGGAAAAAGATTTGGCATGGGCTCGAACGAGGGCTTACGGCCGCCCACAATGAGGGCATGGGAAGAGTGGTGGTGAGTGTGCAAGGGCTGAGGTCACCGAATCTGCGAGGAGACACCGTCCAGTCGGTCGCAGAAAAAGGGGTGGTGTCGATAACCAAAACCAAAAGTCACCTCTACGTGCTAAGCGAGGTGGTGCTGGTAGTTGACCCCCGTCTGCACCAACTCCAGACAGAACAAGGTGTGCGGATGGCAGCTGAAATAGAAGAACAGTGCCGCGCCGAGCGCCTACCTCCAGAAACCAACAATTACTCCCTGGGGATCCAGAGAAGTGACCCCCCCAGATAACACCCAGACCGGCAGAGCCAAAGTTATGAAGCCAAGTAAGATAAAGTTGAGAACGTTGTCCGTCGGACCGGAGTCCCAGGCAGCAGAGCATGTCAAGAAACTAACAATTGAGTCAAATAACAACGAACATAAAGGGCCCGACGTAGACAAGCTGAAGGTAGGTAGGCTCGATCACTGTAGACAGTGATCGAGAACCTCACTTAGGCAGGCTTGAAGCTGAACCTCAAGAAATGCCAATTCGGACAGTTCCAGGTGAATTACCTGGGTTTCCAGGTCATGTCGGACTTGGGACTCTCAGACGGATACAGAGAGAAATTGATGAACATTCAACCCCCTCAGTCAGAGAATGAACTGCAGAAAATACTTGGACTATGTAACTACGTCAGAGACCACGTGCCCAACTACCAAAAGTATGCCAGACCATTGTACAACTGCCTGAAGAAAAATGTGGAGAATGACGAAGGAGGAAAGAGACCCTGGGTTTGGACAGCAGCTAACCAACAAGATCTAGAGGAGCTAAGGAAGGCAATTCAAGCTGCGGTGAGGCTGGAACCGAGAAGCTTGTCAGAGAGATTAGTGGCGGAGATCAGCTGCGAAAACGATGATGCGATGATCAAAGTGAGTAATGAAAACGGAGGCCTAGTTTCTCTGTGGAGTTACACCCTGACCTCTGTTGAGAAGAAATACCCACAAGAAGAGAAAGAGTTAGCGGTGTTAGCTCGGTACTGGAATGTGCTAAAAGACTTAGCACAAGGACAACCAGTAAAAGTCATCACGCAGAGCCAGGTCCACAAGTACCTGAGGAAAGGCACCATTGAAAGTACTAAAGCGACAAATGCACGGTGGGGAAGATGGAAAGACATCCTGCTGAACCCAGAGCTTGAAATTGGGCCAGCACAATCCACCAATAAGAAACGACTGCAAGAATCACCTGAAAAACCAGGACAACCAGAGTGGACACTCTACACCGATGGATCAAGAAAAGGGTCTGACCAGATGGCCTACTGGGGGTTCATCCTGAAACAAGACGGCAAGGAAAGGTGTCGACAGAAGGGAAAAGCCCCCGGCAGCGCCCAAGCCGGAGAACTGACTGCAGTACTGGAAGGACTGCTAGAGCTGGTGAAAAGAAAGATCAAGAGTGCCAGGTTAGTAACGGACAGTTACTACTGTGCTCAAGCCCTTAAAGAAGACTTAGCCATTTGGGAAGAAAATGGTTTTGAGACAGCTAAGGGCAAGCCGGTGGCACACAAAGACTTGTGAAAGAAGATTGCTGAGTTGAAAATGCAACTGGAGCTCAAAGTGGAGCACCAACGAGCGCACACGCATGAGGGAGCTCATTGGCGTGGAAATGATGAAGTGGACTGTTATGTCCAACAGAAGAAGATTGTCTTTGTCGGTGTTGAGAAGTGGGACAATACTCCGAGAGGACGGGAGGTCCCAGAAGAGTACGTGGATGAGGTCGTGCGGAGCGTGCCTGAGGCCCTTGGACATGCAGGCGTACGACCTACCCGTAAGGAACTGGAGGAGCAAGAGCTTTGGATCCCAGTAAAACAAGTCCAACGCGTGCTGAGGGGCTGCGAAGTGTGTGGAAAATACAACGCAGGCCGCCGAGGGCAGCGGTTGGAAGGGTTGACCATCAAAAGCACCATTCCCTGGGGCTCAGTCTGCATGGATGTTGCAGGCCCCATGGGAATGACAGGGAGGAAAGGTGAAAAGTACCTTTTAGTGCTGGTGGATTCAATGTCGGGATTTGTGATTGTGAAAGCAGCCAGGAAGGCAAACGGCAGCAGTGTTGTCGGCATGCTGGAGCAAGTGTGCAGTGCCCTGGGGATCCCGAAGGAGCTGCGTACGGATAATGGGACTCATTTCCGTAATGCACAGGATGACCAGTGGTGCCAGAAGTACGGGGTGATGAGAGTTTACTCGCCACCCTATACACCACAAGCCAACGGAGTGGTGGAACGCACCATTGGATTAGTAAAAAGTTGGATAGCTAAGAATGCTAACGACAAAAGCTGGAGCACCATGGCGGTCGAAATAGGGCAGGCCCTAAACAACAGGAACAGAGCCGAAAGGCCCGCCCCCGCGATGGAGCTGAACCAACGACCGTTTACCACGAAGGAAGTGGGGCGGGGCTCCAGCGATAAAAAGGAGAAGTTGACGCCCAAAGTGCCATTCAGAATGGGACAGCGAGTGTGGGTCAGAGCAAGAGAACAACCTGTGAACGCAGCAGTGAAACCCAAGTTTGAAGCAACGGATGTTGTCAAGCAAGTACTGGATAGGAACACAGTATTGCTGGAAAAGAAGGGGATCCAAG